TGTATCTGTTGAAACCTGGACCCCAGTGATACAAGGGAGTGAGTGCAGATAGAAGAGTGAAGGGGTCCAAGAACAAAGTCCTGGAGTACTCCAAAGTTAAGAGAATGGGGTGATGAGAAAGAACCAGTAATGGAGATAGAGAAGGAGTGACCAGTGAGGTGGAAGGAAAGGCAGAATGGGCTGACAGGCCTAGCAGAGGGAATGGAACTGACATGCTTTGGCTCTGTGTCCCCATCCGAATCTCATCTCAAATTGTAATCCCCCACCTCAAGGGAGGGACCCATAGTCCCCATATGTTGAGGGAGGGAGGTGATTGGATAATGGGGGCAGGTCCCCCCATGTTATTCTCATAATAGTGAGTTCTCAGAGATCTGATGGTTTTATAATCCTCTAGCATTTCCCCTGCTTGCACTTCTCTCTCCTGTGGCCTTGTGAAGAAGGTGCCTGCTTCCCCAATGCCTTCTATCATGATTGTAAGTATCCTGAGGCCTCCCCAGCCACGTGGTACTGTGAGTCAATTAAACCTCTTTCTTTTATAAATTACCCAATCTCAGGTATTTCTTTACAGCAGTGTGAGAATGAACTAACACATGCCCACTGGACCAAATGTTGCTGCTCATTCAATGAGGCCCGAGAAGCACGCATGGGGTCTAGCAATGTGCAGGTCACTGGGGACCTTAGCAGTAGCATTTTTAGCACCATGGTACAGGTTAGAGCCTGAAATAAGTGGGCTCAAGAGTAAATGAGAATAAAGGCTTTCACGTTTATTTAGCACCTGCCTCCCATCATTGACCAGGACAGGGTCCCTGTCTGATTTGTCACTGGTGTGTCCCCAGTGCCTACCATAGTGTGTGGCCCACAGTGGGTACTCAGGAAATATTTAAATTATTAAATGAATGAATGAATGAATGAATGATTCTTCCTCATCCTTCAGGTTTCAGCTCAGAAGTCACTTCCCCCAGAATACCATCCTTAGCCCAGAAATCCAGGTGACACACTTCTGTGCTCCTTTAGCTATTACTACTGAAATAGGATTGTTGCTTTGTCTTTCTCCCCATGAGATGGTCACTCCATGAGTTCACAGATTGTCTTGCTCATTGATATATATTCCCAGTGTCCCACAGAAGGCTTGACACACTGTATAAGGAAAGTGAGTTTCCTTAAGGGGTGGAGCTGAGTGTAGGGGACTATTAAAGAGGGGCTGGAAGACAGCCTCCTTTTGTTTAGCAAACTCATACTAAAGCCAAATATCTTGTCTTTGTGAAAAGCTTCCCTGTTAGGGGTGGTGGTGTGTGTGTCTGCAGTCTCAGCAACTCAGGTGGCTGAGCCTGGATAACTGCTTGAGCCCAGGAGTTTGAGGCTGCAGTGAGCTATGATCATGCCATTGCTCTCCAGCCTGGGTGACAGAGTAAGAGTTTATCTCTAAAGATAAAAAATTAAAAAGCTTCCCTGGCTGGGTGTGGTGGCTCATGCCTGTAATCCCAGCACTTTGGGAGGCCAAAATGGGAAGATCACAAGGTCAGGAGATAGAGACCATTCTGGCCAACATGGTGAAACCTCACCTTTACTAAAATACAAAAAATTTGCTGGGTGTGGTGCTGAGTGCCTGTAGTCCCAGCTATTCAGTGGGGAGGCTGAGGCAGGGGAATCACTTGAACCTGGAAGGCGGGGATTGGAGTGAGCAGAGCTCGCACCAGTGCACTCCAGCCTGGCAACAGAGTGAGATCCTGTCTCAAAAAAAAAGCTTCCCTGAGTCTACTTTCCTTGGACCACATGTCTGGCACACGGGTAGGAGACAGATAACCAGTCAATTATTGTTGAATGATTAAGTGACCAATTGGTACATCAAGGTGCTGATCAAAAGAAGACATCAATGGGCAGAAGGCATTCGTGGGAGGAGATACTAAAGCAGGGGGATCTGCCAAGGGCACTACAGGCAGAGGACATAAGGAGGTGACTTAGCAGCAAAGCATTATGCATGCCATATTGTGCCAAGCTCACAACTGCACAGCTTGCACGATGCAGAGCACAGTGTATGGTGAACCTCAGAAGTGAAGGGCAATGTGCAGCAGGCTTTCAGAGAGAGCGAGAGGCAGTTCTCAAGCAGGTTTCATTATTCAGAGGCTGTGAAGGCAGAGGGCAGGGTGGAGAGTGTTCACAGGTAGTGACCCACCAAGGCAGCTATGCAGGGAGAATCCCATGAAAACACATTCACAGCAAAGCACAGGGCCATAAAACAAGCCTCCACCAATTTAAAAAAGTTAAAGTTTGTCATCTGAGGGCTCTAGAAGAAAAGAAAAAAGAGAAAAAAAAAAGAAAAGAGAAAAAGAAAAAAAAAGTTGAAGCTATGCAAAGTGTAATAACCTACCATAATGGAATGAAATTAGAAACTGATAACCAAAGGAAATTTTGGGAAACCACGTTAAGCAAGAAACTCCAAAATAACAAGTGAATCAAATAAGAAGTCACAAGGGGAATTAGAAAACCTTTGAGATGAATGGAAAGGAAAACACAACATGCAGCTAGAGCAGTGCTCAGAGAACAATTTCTAGCTGTAAATGCGTACGTTCAACAAGAAAGATCTTGGCCGGGCATGGTGGCTCACACCTGTAACCCTAGCACTTTGGAAAGTCAAGGTGGTAGGACTGATTGAGCCCAGGAGTTCTAGACCAGCCTGGGCAATATGGCCAAACCCTACCTCTACAAAAAAATCCAAAGAAAAAAATTAGGTGGTCATGGTGGCATGTGCCTATAATCCCAGCTACTCAGGAGGCTGAAGTGGCAGGATTGCCTTTGCCCAGGAGGTCAGGGCTGCAGTGAGCCATTATTGTGTCACTGCACTGCAGCCTGGGTAACAGAGATACACCCTGTCTCCCCAAAAAACAAAAAAGAAGAACAAAAGAAGGATCTCAAATCAATAAGCTAACTTTACACCTTAAAGGAACTAGAAAAAGAAGAGCAAGAAGAAAGGAAGAAATGATAAAGATTAAATAAGACATTAATGAAACAGAGATTAGAAAATTATAGGAAAAAAATCAATGAAATGATTAAAAAAAAGCCAATGTTGTTCTTTGAAAACAATAAAATCAACAGACCTTAAGTAAGACTAACTAAGCAAAGCACACTATGGAAAGGGCACTTACAGTCAGAAGGCTTTATTGGCTGAGCCCTAGATGATGAAATAATTCAGCAGCAGATATCAGAAAGCAGAAGGCATCTGCAGGTAGAAGGCACTGTGCAAGGAGCCAGGAGCAGAAGGCATTCTGAGGCAGAGGACAATGGGAAGAAGGCATTTGCAGGCAGGTTTGAGACCTTTGCAGGCAAAAGATACTGTGCAGAGAAGTTTCACCAGAAGAATATGTTCTGGGGAGTAAAATCCACAGGCTGAAGACATTCATAAGCAAGGAGCAGTCCCCAGAGAACATGGAGATGCATGGGGAGGGGGCCATCACAGATACATGAACTGTCGACCAGCACCTGCAGAGGTCTCTCCTGCAGACCCTGACTTAACAACAGATGAATAAATGCACTCTCACACCTGGTTCAGTGATTCAAGTGGGCTAGGGATGGTCGTTGGCTGCTTTCCAAGGGCAACAGCTGCCAACTGACCAAGACCTCCTGTTTATCTACATATTTACTCAGTAAAGATTTCATAACAGAGGTTCTAAGTTAACATGTTTGTGGATAATTAACATGGTTAAAAGAGTGGTTTTACGAATGATAAAATCGTTAGGTTCCGGACCCAGAGTAAACACTATTAACAGGTAATTCCCCTTTGATCTCCCCCTGAGGGGGCCATCCAGCACAAAGTTTACATGAGTAAACACAGTAGAGACAAAGAGATGTGAGGTAAACAGACTTAACCGGGCAAACCTCTTATCATCTCTCTTTCCTATGCTAATGTAATGGACCAGCCACCTTTGGCCTGCCCCAAAAAAACCTTTCGGCCTTCTAAAAGGTTTGAGACTAATCTATAACTTTCCTTAATATTTTGCTAATATTTTGCCAGCCACCCCGAGTGAATTCCAACAACAAACCCAGGACAGGAAGCAGGAGTCATGGTAACAGAGGAGGCCCAATACTAGCACTGACTTGCTGTTTCAAAATGACACTCCCCTATTTTTCCTTTAGGTCTTTGTGTCACACACTGTTACCAATTGAGAGTCCTACAAATATACCTAGTTAGGAGCTCCTGTGGCAGTCCTTGTCTTTTGAATCAGCAAAAGCTCTTCCTCCCCAGTGTAACAAGATGAAGTTCAAGGTTGGGGTGAAAAAATAGCTAGAAGAACACTAGTCCAATGGCCCCATGGTCCCTACTTAGTGGTGGAAGGAGTTCTCTGAGTATCATGTCTATCTTTGGACTTCCTGATCACCCTTTCCCGTCCCTGGGTTGAATCAAGACTTTGATGGCATGTAGATTATATTGATATGCATCTAGAGGAATGAGTTGGGGTGTGTATTGGGGTCACCTTTGAGGAGGGCCTTGGAGAGATGTGTATTAAGAATTACTGTCAAGGAAGAGGTGGAGGGACTGGGAGTGTTTAAATGTGAGAAGAGTTGACCAAGACAGAATCTGAGAAGTATTTTCATCTATTATAGGGGCTGGCATCTAGCAGAGGGATTAAAGGCCACCAGTGGCTGACAAACAGAAATGGACTTTAACTCAACTGAAGAAGGCATCATCTAAACCCAAGGCTGTCCACAGACAGCAGGGGCTTGGAAGGAACTGAGCTCCTAGCCACTGGAGGTGTGCACTAATAGCTAGGTGGCTGTCTGTCTGCAGTGGTAATGATGAGGAGAATGGACCCCCCCACAATACGGGATTCCTCATTAAGATTTGATGAGTCTAGAATTCCACACTTCCTGTGCATGCATAGTGTGTTGATCTTGCTATTAAGTACTTGTTTACTTTTGTACAGAGAAATGGCTGCAGGAAATAGGAATAAAGAAATCACACAGCTGAATACACCAAGTTATTACACTTAAAAAGGAAACCTTGATGCTGACACATGTAGTATCTTACCATTTATTATAATTGTGTACATTATTGTGGATTAAGTATGATTAGAAACACTAAGCAATAAAAAAGAAGCAAAATGTAATGCAACCATCCCTCTTCCTTAGATCTGCAAAATTCTGTGCCTTTTTAGACATGAAAGAAGCTGTTTTGGATCAAAATCAATAATGCTTTTGCAACAGTTCTTTCATTATCTTGCATGTTTGTTCTAAAACTCCCTTAAAGGCAGATTATACCTTGAAGTGAGGAAGCCAGCCTTTCTTGGGCCTCTTTACCTTGCATTCCATCCCCTGGGCCTGCAATAAGACTCAGGGATAGCACCTCTCACCAAGGGGGTGACATTTCTTTCCTTCACTCATGCATTGAGTAGCTGTGTGTTAGTATACACCATGTGCCAAGTTTGATGCTGGGGACTACAGCTGAGGGAGAGCAGTTGGTATTTAGTGTAGGTACATGCTCTCCAGAGGAAAATCCAATGCAAATAAATGGAGTGTTCCTCTGTGATCATTTGCCAGGAAGAACAAGTCCACAAGCCAATGTGCATAGGGCTCAGAAGCTGGAGAAAGATGGAGACCTTTTATAATTAAATCAAGAGAAGACGCCCTCATTTTGTAACAGAAATATTCTAAGGTTGTTCTTCCTTTCAAGGAACTTACTAAGTGATGCTGGGCCCAAATGTGGCAGAGTCCAGCTGAACCTGAGCAGAGGGTCAGCTGGCTACATGAACAGGCTTGTATCTGCCCAGCCATCCAACGAGTTTCCATGTCCCAAGTACCTGGGGCTCCAGCAGTTGTCAGTAGCTTGAGGCAGAGTCTTAACTGGAAAATGGGTCACTGAATGCTCTCTGCTCAGATCAGCTAGCCCCCTGGAGCTTTTCCTGGATTCACAAGCTCCTCTTTGGTAATATCTGTGAGCCAAATCTGTTCTCAGCTGAAAGCATCTCAGTTTGCAGGCATTTTCATGGGCAGAGGGGAGGGAAAGAGACAGCTTGGCCCTTGAAGTACTTCACGGAGGAGGGGTGGAGATCATTCAGGGATCCAGAATGCCCAAAGGCAGAGTGTGATTTCACACCTTCCGCTCTTAGGGAGGCCTGAAGGGAGGGTATAAACCTGGCAGGAACTATGTACCCCCTGCACAGTGCTTGGCACACACTCAGCACAAAATCAATGCTTGCTTTGGTGGGTGCTGCTCTGGGAAGAGCACGGGCTCTGTAGAGTTCTGCACAATGTAATGAACACCTCTACGAGTTCCAATATCCTCATCTCTAAGATGGGGACGGGAATGTCGCCTTCACGGGATTATTATGGGAACTAATGCCATCACTTTGTGATAGTGCCTGGTATGTGGTAGAGCCTCGAGAAATGTTAGCTGCTTTTCCCCTCCTTAATCCTGCTGGGATCTATACACCCTAAAACCCACCTGGGAGGATTTCTGTGTGAAGTTCAGGGAGCAGAATTGAAGGCAAGTTAATCAGCTATCAAGATTTCAACAGACACAGATATCACTTTGGTCAGTAGCCTCCTAAAATCACATCCTACTGAATTAAACCTAATCGTGTAAACTTTCCAATACATGCCAACATACCAGCAGGGGAAAACTCAAATATAGTGAAAGGTGGGTGGAAGACAAAATGAAACACTGCTATATAACCCAACAAAAGCAGCTAACTACTTTTTAAAGTGTATGGAAATTTTAAAAAAATAGATATGGCAAACAGACAAGCTAAACACTAGCCTATGCCAATCCCTAGCATTCAATGTCTGCAATTCACCCACAAGGGATCATCAATAGTCTTCAACTTGGCCCCTCAGAAGCTTCAAGGGAGTCAGGACATACTGAACCCTATACTTCTGCTCACCTAAACTCATTAGAAAGCCAATCTGTCTTAGGGAAGGCAACATGGAATTCTTGTTTGATCCTCTTTTGTTGAACCTAAAATGAGATCATGGATGTAAAGTGCTTTCTAACCTATGAGAAGCTCCACACACAAGCAATTATCTAGCATCTTTAAGATAAGACTTCAACTTGAGAAGGGCAAAAGCACGAAGAAATCAAACAGGGAAGGGGAGCCAGCAACTTGGGGCAAAACTGGGGACAGTCAAACTTGTCCAGGAGTCATCAGCTTCTGATCAGCCTGGGGTGGGGCTAAAAGAAAACAAGTAGCCATGAGACTGGAAACACATCAGCCAGAGGCCTCAGGGTGGGTGACTGCTTCAGTAATCAGGGGTTACTGCCTAGCTCAAGGTGATTTCTGGAGAGAAGGCCATCAGCATGGAGCTGGTTTAAAGCCTCGTTGCTATCAATCCCGATTACCTTCAGGGGATATATTCTGCTCTGTGCTCAGAAACTGTGCTAAATTCCACTGGCTATGAGAATGCAAACACGTCTTCAGGCAGTGCTCATAATGTGGCCCAGAGGCTTCTTTTACTGAGCACCATGGCTATGCAGTCCTGATCTGAAGTTATGCAAGCAATGGTGGAACGGAGAGCCCTGGACAAGAATCCAAAGACCTGGGGTGAGATCCTGATTCTACCTGGGTTTCTCCAGGCCCCCTTCCTTTCTACATCTTTATTTCCTTGTTTCAAAATGGGGCTAACAACAGTGGCCCAGCAAGCATCCCAGGACAGCTAGAGGCCTTGGCTCAGGTGCTGGATGGAAGGTGTGATATGGAAGTGTCCTCACAGAGGGCCTTTGTCCATGCCACCTAATATGTCAAAGTACCAGAAGGCATAAGAACATGAGGACACAGGGCCTCCTGAACATAAGGAAGAGCCAAGAAAGGCAGCAGTGTCTGGGGCTGAGATTCCAGGAGAGACCAGGACACATCTCTTCTCCTTAACTAGTCTCTTGGCCACTTGTCCTCTGCAGTGTCAGCACTCACCTAGAAGAGCTTCTCATAGCATTTCCCACAGTGAATGGTGTCACGGTGAATGAAGATTTGATCCAGGAGATCACCCATTGGTTTACTGCAAATCCCACACTGAAAGAGAAACCAATCTGGAGGTCAACACACAAAGCAAAGCAACAGTGAGTGGAGTGGGAAGGGGATGCCTGAGCAAGGTGGGCAAGCAGATGCTGTGAGCCCATGGTACATCCTGGACCTCCAAGAGGTCAAGAAAAAATTATGAAAAGGGATCACTTGTACACCAAGCCTCAGCGACATACAATTTACACATGCAACAAACCTGCACGTGTAACCCCAACCCTAAAATAAAAGGAGAACAATGATGAAAACCAGAAGTAAAACACAAACTCAAAAACAATACAAAAACAAAAAACTAAAAAACAAAAAAAGTCCCATAAAAACTAGCTGGCAGGATTATCATGTGGTGGTTAGGAGGTCAGGTTCAGAATTCAGCCTGGCTTTGAGTTGTGAGCCCCAGTTACTGAAACTCTCCCAGTCTCTGTTTCCTCATCTGTAAAGTGGGTGCACCAGCAGGATGGACTTCTCATGATTACTACAAACATTCAGTGATGTAGTCCACAAAGAGCACGAAGCCTGGGGTCAGGCGTCAAGTAAGTGTGCAGTAAGTGCCAGCGGTCATTGCTGTTGTAGCAGGGGTTGGACAATATTAAGCGTGACATTTAAGGAAGGTGATAGTACAGTCCCATAGAAAGGAAAGATATCTCAGCAGTCCAGCTCCTTCCTCCAATCTCACGACTTTCAAACTTGTCTCCCCAGGAATGCCTATGGAGGAGACAGCGCTCTCCAGGCCCCAGGCTGAGTCTTCTGGCTCCAAGCTTTCACAGGTGCTGAGACAGGCAGAGAAGGGGTACTAGGATCCTCCAAGCCCCTTTGCTCATTCTAACCAAGCACCTTTCTGATGGCAATGAGGCTATTTCGATTTCTCAATTCCCTCCTCCTGGCAGTTTGGTTCACTATAAATTAATTAGCCCTCTGATTTATGTATTATGCCTCTCTCATTACAGTTATTGTGAACCATTATAGTACTTTGAACCTCAACTTCGCCGACTGATGATTCCAATCCATTTAGGGAGTCACCTCTGAGTGCACAGAAAAAAACAACAACCTGGGGTTACAAAGTGCTACACATCATGGAGAATGGGGACCCCAATGGCAATTACAATAAAATCCAAACTCTGTGCCCTCCAAGGCTTACACGATCTAGAGCACCCAGTCCCTCATGCCATTCTACCATGCAAGCTAGAACACTCTAGTGCTCCTGCCCCAGGTCCTTTGCACTTGCTGGCCCTCTGCCAGGAACAGTCTTTCCTGAAAAGACCTCTTGTGTCTCCCCGACAGTACTAAGCATGTGGAACCACCAACACTCATCCACTCTCTTAGATTTGGAAGCTCATTCAGCTCCCAGTTGTGCAAAGCCTCTGTGACTGTGTACAATTGTATATGGAGATCAAATCTTCTCTGTATTGTCTGAACCCATAAGACTCCTGCTCTCTACAAAACGTTCTTAGCAGCATGGCCCCACTTTCTTACCTTAAAGCAATATTCATGGCAGCAGATGCCAAGATGTTCTAGGGTAATCTTTGGGCAGTCTCGGATCTCATGGTTGCAGTAAGTACAGATCCCTCCAGTTGTCCTGTGAGATGAAGAACAATAATCTGGTGGTCAGGCTGGTGTAGACCTCTGATGCGACAAAGCCAGACCTTCTGGTTTTGTGCAACCAGGCCCAGCTTTGCTGCTAGGATCCCAGGCTGCAGTCTTTCTCTGTGGTGTGCAGCATAGCCCTGGGCCAGATCAGTTCTCAGTCTGGGCTGCAGACCTAGACTCACGAGGACTCTTGCACTGCTCTTATTCAAGGCTGTCTGCAGGCCACACTGCCCCAGTGCCAGGAGGGTCCCCTGCTGCAGACCTTTGCATTATTTCCAAAAATTAGTCATGTATCTTTTCCTGACTCACTACAGTATGTGTGGACACCTGATGTGGTACTTATTCCACACAGTTTGCCACCCTCTGACCTTCTGCTTAGAATATTTGCTAGAGGCCAGGTGCAGTGGCTCATGTGTATAATCCCAGCACTTTGAGAGGCCAAGGCGGGTGGCTCACAAGGTTAGGAGTTTGAGACCAGCCTGGCCAAAATGGTGAAACCCTGTCTCTACCAAAAATACAAAAAATAGCTGGGCATGGTAGTGGGTGCCTATAATCTCAGCTACTCAGGGGGCTGAGGCAGGAGAACTGTTTGAACCCGGGAGGCAGAGGTTGCAGTGAGCCAAGACTGTGCCACTGCACTCCAGCCTGGACAACAGGGTGAGACTCCATCACAAAAAAAAAAAAAGGAGTATCTGCTGGGGCCTATTACCTTCTACAGCAAGAAGACCAATGCCTTCTCCTGCAGGAGACATGTCATTGTGTGCCCTGCCTAGGCCCCTGTCTTGATGGCCCTTCTCCTCATGCCTGGGCCAACTGAACCCTGCCCCCACCTACACTGCTGGACCCACTCTGCCATGCTCTGTCTGTAGAGCCTACTCAGATCCTATGCTGAAGTTCTAGATACCGAATCCTGAGGTGAGCATCCTTACAGTTCCAGGATGCCTATTTTTGTTTCTGAGAGTCACCTCTGCTTTTCCTCCTCAGACAAGACTTGCTGAAAGTGACTGCTTGATCTGACCCTCCAGGCCATAATTTGAGGTACTTTCTTCCAGAGATTTGAGTCTGCTTCTGACAGGAGCCCAGAGCCGGGGGAGGCATTACCAATGTAGATTCACTTTAGCTCTGTCACAGGACCTAGAAGTGCCATGGGCAGGTTACTTGTGGTGTGCCATCTGGCTGCTGGCCCAGGGTTCACTTGGACAGCAGTACTGCTAACGGCCCCTGCACCAGCAGCCCACCAGCTCACAGTTGTTTTTCGTGCACGTGCATGCGTGTCTGTGCATACACATGTGTGCAACTGACTGAGATTGTCCTTAGAGAGTCCCCTTCCTTTCTCCAAGCCTAGCAATGGATCTGTAATGTCCGATTCTGGATTTAGTAGCTGTGCAATGGAAAGGAGGGTCCCTAGGGTATCTGGTCTGTCACTCCACTAGAAGTGGAGGCCTCATTCCATTCACTCCGATGTAGGTGGTTAGCTCCCAGGTTTCTGACCAACCTGCCCTTCTCTCCTAAGACTTCAACTGATGTGCCTCACCGAGTCATCTGTAGTTACCCAGAACCAGCTGCTTCTTCAGCTACAGTGGAGGGGATTCCCTAGCCCCATATGCTTGCCTGCCCCTGTATGTTTGCCCTTGAGGCCCAGCAAGATTCTCTTTATCTTAACCCTCTTTCTTCTTTCGTTTTCCTCACCAGTGTAGCTTTGGCCTCTGAATGTCATCCACAGGAATTTAGATCTATCAATGAGAAGCCAGATGGCAGAGTAGAAACATCCCTAACCTGGGAGTAGTCAGGGCCCTGGGGTTGAGTCCTGGGTATGCCATATCCACTCACCGTGGACTGAAGGCTACTTATTCTGCCAGCTCTGTTTTCTTCACAGCAGCCTGAGTGAACTCAATCTCTGAGACTCTCTTCTCCCCATTCCAAGAAATTTAACATAGGATTTATTTGTCATTAAGATGGTCTGGTGACTGTGGCATCATCTAGTGACAGCTTTCACAACTGCTGAACGAGGTGCTCTCTGTCCTTGCTTTCAATTTGGTGGCTCCATAGCATGCAGCATGATGCCAGCAGCCCACTTTTCTTCACTCTCTGCCCACTACTGTCCTGTCTTTTGTAGTTATTTTATTTTGACTTCTGGTCAGATTTGCAAGTTAATTAAGTGATGGATTAGGTTCTAATCTGAAGGGCCTCTCCTGCTGACGTGAGTCCCCTGGGCTGTCAGACACCACCACTTCCCTTCTCAGTCACCCTTGGCGTCTACCCTCTGGTCTTGGCTCAATTCAAAGGCTTTAGTTGTCACAAGTGTGACATCCCAACAAGGGAAGCACCAGCCTATGTCCTTCATCTTTCTGCAAATGTAGTGGAGGCTGCAAAGCAGAAGACAAAAGCAAACAGGCTCAGCAGGAACTCTCCCTTCCCTGTTTCTTCTCTGTAGAACTGCAAGCTCCATGCTAAGAAAATCAACATACCTCTCAGAGTATGGAGTTCTGACGTATGGGGGCTTCTTCTCTACGTCGAATGTGTCCTCAATGCTGCTGACACTACAGGGAGTGTGATGGGGGAGAGCCAAATCACTGTCATAGTTAATTTTCTCATTAACCTTTGGCCACAAGCTGAGACATAAGTACGCTGCCAATTGTCATCCATCACTTGGTGCCATAAAGGCCCTTCTATGCCGTGGGGGGCGGGGGTGGCAAAGGAGATCTTTCACAATGAGGGAGATGATCAGGGCTGGGTGGCTAGGATTCCTGTGGTTGTATATGCCAAGGTGCCCCAACTGACCAGTGGGAAAAGAGTAAAGTTTCTTTCCCGCCTATGTTATAATGTGACAGTCACCAGGAGCCCACTCAACAGAAATCAGATACTGGGAATGAGAAGAAGGAAGGGAATGTTCTGGCATAATACCTGTGCTCAAGTTATGGGTTGAAATTAGGAGGTACAGATGGGTTCAGGGTTTCTTTTGGGGGTGACAAAGGTGTTCTAGAATTGGATAGTGATGTTTGCATAACTCTGTGAATATACCAAAACTTTGGGACTGTACACTTTAAAGGGTGAATTATAACTCAATAAGCTATAGAGAAAAACCACCCTAAGGGGCTACAGATGGTGAAACCGAAGCTCAGAGAGGTTGAACATCTTGTCCAAAATGATCCAAACAGGGGGCCTGAGCTGGGGTTTGAACTTGACCTCCACAGCCATGCTCATCATTCCACAGCACCAGTGAAAGCCAGCTCAGAAGCCCTAGAGGCCCGATCCTGAAATAAGGCTAGGATGCTCCTCTCTGTTACTAAAATCCTCCAGTGGTGTGATGTGTCATAAGAAACATTCCGAGGGACCTCATCTCAGTGTGGTAGGTGACAATACACGGAGATGACATGGAAGTACCCCTCCACATGGCATCAGGAAGCAAGCAGATGAAGAGATGATCAGTGGAAAGGGGAGGCTGAGGTGGGTGGATTGCTTGAGGTCAGGAGTTCGAGACCAGCCTGGCCAACAAGGTGAAACTCCGTTTCTACTAAAATACAAAAATTAGCTGGTCATGGTGGTGGACACCTATAATCCCAGCTACTAGGGAAGGAGGCTGAGGCAGGAGAATTGCTTGAACCCAGGAGGAGGAGGTTGCAGTGCACTGAGATGGCACAACTGCACTCCAGCCTAGGCAACAGAGCAAGACTCCATCTCAAAACAAAAATAATGAGAATAAATAAATAAGTAAATAAAACTAAAAAGCAAAGTCACATATGTATCAGGAACTGCAGTCACATGTGCATTAAAATGAGGTAGGCTGGCATGACAGAAAAGAACATGGGGCTCAAAAGAAGAGCTCTGTGATCTGAAAGGAAATAGGATGAACTAGTTGGTCCCCAGGGCTCTGCCAGCTCTGCCAAGAGGGATGCTCTCAGCATTTGACAAAACAATATAACAAAGACAAGCAGAACAGGATGGCAGTGAAAATGGCGTGCAGGATGAAGTCACTGTAAGGGACAACCCAAAGGTGCCCAGGTAGGCAGAACACCTGAAAATCCATCAGTCCCATCAGAGGGCCATTATATCACTCACCCACTCGACCATTACCAGAAGCTACTCTGAGTCAAGCCCTGGACAAGGACCTAGGAATGTAGGGATGAGAATATGGGAGCCAGCAGCAGAAGGCCAACGTGGAAGGGTTTGGGACTCACTCTTACCTGCTATAGCGTGTAGATGCTGGCTTCCCAGAAGACACTTCACTAGCATTCACATACTCCTTCACGAAGAGAATCCCTTTGCTGTAGAAGGAGCACAGCAGAAATCAGAGTGATATAAGAAGATTCCAGGGAACCAGGCCTGGCCCACAGGAGTGGTTCGGGGCTGGAGAAGTCCCAGCCTGGTTTGAAGGAAGTGAAACAGCTCATGGGAAGGCACAGGACAGAGGCACTGGCATTGAAGTGGACTTGGGCTACAGTCCCAGCCCATGAGCGTTGCTCGTTGTGTTTGGACTGAGATTTACAGTAAGGGGCTTCCTGCAACCAATGGCAATGTGCTGTCCTTCTCCATGCAGACCTCGGCACTCCATCTTCTCCCCAGGCTTCAGTCCCGTGAGCTTTCCACCCCTACCTCAGGGCTGCGTAACCTTTACCCTCTACCCACAACCAAGATATCCCCCAAGCCTTAATTCTATGGTCAGTCTTCGCCACTCAGCAGCTCCCAGAAGGCACTCAGCTACTGTGCAGTTTCCATCTCACATCTAATTTCTCCCTTCTCTCTCCTGGAGTCCAGAGACCTAGAGGGTGCCTCATCCTGGACTGGTCTCTGCAGGACAGGAAATAAGATCTGCCTCATGCTGGGCTCAGCATGGCCCCAAATTTGCACCCCCCTTTTCATGCTGCACACTCCAGCCTGCTGACCTGACATATGCAGAGGTCGCCTTAGATATGCTCCCCACCCCCAACACACACACCTCACTGAGCAGCGTTCCTGCAGGAACATCCCTTCCTGCACCCTGGCAGGTGGCCAGGGATGCAGGTGAAGCAGTGGGCATGTGAGAGAGACAGACAAAACTCATGTTGAACTGTGAGTCCCATTACTGGAGGTGGGGCTTGGAGGGAGGTGACAGGATCATGGGGGGTCCCTAATGAATGACCAGCATCATCCCCTCGGCGGTAAGTGAGATCTCACTTGGTTAGTTCACATGAGGTCTGCTTGTTGAAAAGTCCGGTCCTCCCCTTCCTCACTCTTGCTCTTGCGCATGCTCTGGGATGTGCCTGTTCCCACTTCACCTTCCACCATGATTAGAAGTTTCCCGAGGCCTTCACCAGAAGCCAAGCAGCTGCTGCTTGTGCCATGCTTGTGCAGCCTGCCGAACTGTGAGCCAGTTAAACCTCTTTTCTTTATAAATTACCAGACTCAGGTATTCCTTTACAGCAAGACACGAATGGCTTCACACAACTGGCCTTCACGGACTTGAGCTGGCTTCCCAGGCATGTTCCACAGTGACATCAGCAAGTACTCATGGATGGCACAGCCCACATCCACTAGAGCACTAGGAAGTACCACTGCAGCCTCTTGCAGGGATAAGAAAAAGGAAATGTGGGAACATCTAGGCCTGCAGATGGGCATTTATACTGGGGGACTAACACTGTCCTGGGTGGCCCCTTGCCTAATGGCCTTCTGGGAATTGGGGAAGCAACATGGAACAAAAGCCAAGTCCTTTACTGCCAAGGAGGAAGTGGGTAACCCCCATGCCCAGAGAACATCTCCCAGGTTGCTAGATAGCCCTTCTTACGTGGCGGAGCTGGAGTCCAATTCACTTGGCGGGGCTGGAATATAACTGTGAGGCTGCTCAGAAGTGGCAGTGACAGTAACGGTGACCATGCAGCTTGGGGGGCTTCTCACCCTGAAAGAAAGAAAACGAGGGGTGGGGTGGACATGTCAACCCTGAGAGCTGACACCTTCCAGGGCCAAACAGGCTTTTCTGAGCCTAATCCTTGAGCACTGCTCTTGAAATTTCCTCTGAAATCAACAAATGGAACTTCTCACTTTACACATCAGAAAAGCCAGGGCAGGGGAGTTGAGACCTATCCCAGGTCACATGGTGGGTTGGTAGCAGGACCCCAATCTCCCTGATTGCAGCCGAGCGCCCTGGCCTCTGTGACTCACTCAGTTAGAGTGGAATCATGGGCTGCCGAGGATGTGAGAGTCAGAAGGGAGCAGAAGGGGAAGACACCGCCTCACTGGATGGGATAGTCCCTTACTAGGATCAGCTTCTTCTGCCACCCTGCAGGGGACTCTCCAGAGAACACAAGGCCAAGGGGCAGAGGACCACATGAAACTAGGCATCACTGAGGAGGAGAGTCAGATGCACCTCATTCCCAACAGAGGCAGGAAACTGACAGCTGTCGAAACTTTTCTGAGTCTCCACACTTCAGCTGTCACAGGCCCTTGGCCTGGAACTCAGCCTCCTAGGCAGCCCAAAAATGCTTTTCTCTGGCTAAGCCCATACTGGCTCTCACTCTGCCTGACCCCAGGCTATGAGCCTCGTTACCAAAGCTTGAGGGCATGGTGTTGGGCAGCACCACCAACCACTTGTCTGCACCTTCCAACTTCAGTCTGCCCACCCTCCAGTGGCCTGCACTGGGCTGATTCTGGCTTCCTCCAACATACCACGGTTCACATCATACTCAGATATGGCTGCCTCCATCTGTCCCAGGCTATGGGGTATTGTCCCCTTGCCAGAGAATCCAATCCCCAAGATTTCAACTCGTTGAAGAGTGGGGAAGGGGAAGAACAATCACAGTCTAGCATCTGCCTAACTCTCCTGCCTCATAGGCTCCAACTAGATCACAGGCTCACACTAGTGCTACCCACGCAGAAGCCATACAGACCAGCCTGCAGTTCCCCTGGACTTGCAGAGCTCTCACATGCCTTTGCAGACAACATCAACTTCTCTTCTGGGAAGCCCTTCCTGAGGACCTGCCCTTCTACCTAACCTCAGTGTGCCCAATCATCGTGTGCCTGTTCCTGGTTCAACCTATGACAAAGCAATGTGCCACAGAGACTGGGGGATGGGGACTGGATGGGAGAGGAGGGCCCCACGAAAGCCTGCAAAACACATAGGGGATAAAATGCAGAGCCAACGAGTGGGAAGGGGATTGATTCTAAGAGGAAGGAAGGCAAGACCTCATACTGACTGAACAATTACCAGGTGTCTGGTATCCTGTGATTCATGTCAGCAGAACACTGAAGGGGACAGCAGAACTGAAGGGGCAAGGTAAAACAGAAATCTCCTGGAGCTACTTGGGAGGCTGAGGCAGGAGGATCACTTGAGGCCAGGAGTTCAAAAACAACCTGGGTAACACAGTGAAACTCTGCCACTTAAAGAAAACCCCCTGGGGATGCCCCCAGGACTGCAATGTGAGCGACAGGAGCTCTCCCAATAGCCTTCTCTCCTTCACCTACAAGTGCCTACAGGGCCCAGCTCCTGCCCCCTGCTCACACTCACCCCTACCCTCCAAGCACAGGGCTCATTGCTCAGGCCTTCCTTCCGATCTTCCTTGTCCATGGTGCATCTCCCCAGGCTCTTTGGAAGGCAGGCTCCTCCAGATGTTTCAGGTCTCAGCTGGACTGTCTCCCCCTCGATAGAAAAGCTTTCCCTAAGCATCCTTGCTATCACACTCTGCCCTAACCCCTCTCCATCAGAGCACCTGGTTTCTTTCCTTCCTGGGCTTATCACAAATGGAGGAGCAGTATGGATGCCACAGCAATGGACAGTATAGGCTCTGAGCTCTGTCTGGATTCTAATCTCGGTTAGGCTACTTCCTGGCTGCATAACTGCTGGAAAGTTACTTAACCACCATCTGCCTCAGTTTCTCCATAATAAAAGTACCTCCTTCCTAGAGTTGGTGTGAGAATTCAATGAGTGAGTCCACAGGAAGCATGGAGAACAGTGCCTGCATATTATCAGCACACAGCAGGAGCTATCGGTTATTACGATCGTGCTTATTCGTCAGTGGACTGTGTGCTCTTTGAGGCTGGGTGGATGGGGCCTTAGCCGTCATGTTCACTGTGTACATGGCTGCTCACAGGAAGCTTTTAGTGTGCAGCATCTCCAGCTGGCGGCCCATTGTGCCTGCTTATTCTCTAACTCATGGCCACTTTGGGAAAAGATCTCTGGGGAACAAAGGGAGCTCTCAACAGACACCTACACCTTTTTTCACCATTGTCAACTGCAGCTCCAGGCAGTGATAAGGGAAGGGCCTCTGGCCTCACACAAAAAAGGACCAGAGTGACACTGAGGCGACTGCTGCCATGCATCCCATCTGTTAGGTCTGACAGACCAGAGCCAGGCTGAGAATGCAGGAGGTCAGCAAACACTTGCTTTGCTGAGTTTCTTGGCAACATGAAGCTAGCATAGCCCTCCCCTCACCCTGTTCCTGGAGCCATCCTTTCAAAGCAATGGACCATGGCAGGAGAGTGAAGGCAGGGCCGGAATACTTCATTGGCAGGGACAAGATGAGGAAAGACCAGAAGCTGGTCAAGGGAATGACCTGGAACTGAGAGACAGAGAGAGGATAGAGGTCGCAGCAAGGCAGCGGGTCAAAGTCGGTTAGGGGTATGGGACAATAGCCACAAAATACCAGAAATAAGGACATCTTGAGAATGCAGCCACATGTCCTGCTGGTGCAAGAGCCAATGGGTGGGTTCCTAGTTACCCAAGCTGGATGTGAGCACCACACAGTTGTCATAGAGAGAGAGAGGAAGTTCACCTGGCAGGAATGGGGAAAATGTCATCAAATCATGGCATCCTCTCTTGCCCTCTAGGTCCTGCCCATGTTGCAATGGCTGTGAAGCCCTTCCTGAGGCCACACTGTTTCCAGTCTAACAACTCCAGCTTTCCGTGGATTTTTGCAAATGAGAATTGACAGAATGTTTCAGGGTGATATAAAATCTGATACTACATTGCCTGTAAAAACATTTTAAAAACTCAGTTATTTCCAAATGTGAAAAAATGCACCACAAGTCACCTAGGATTTCAAAATTGGGAAATCTCTGACAGCCACCAAAAACGTCATAATTTGGTGTGGACCCACACTGCTCTACAGAGGCCAGAAGTCAGGAAACTGCCACTTAGGGACACCTGAGCTGCTCACAGAAAAGCACAAGTGTCTGGTGCGGTCTGTTCCCTACTACTTGGCTGCTCCTTGGTTCTTGGTCTCTCTCAGAAAATGCAGAGCCCTGTTTTCTCAGGCTACTGCTGCCAACTTCTTGCAACCAGTGAGCAACCCTGGGTCAGCACTGTGGAGCTGCATTACCACCCAAATCCATGGCCATCACACTGCTGACAGCAGTGGAAATGCTCATCCAACTGGTACAGTCGTTATTTCTGGCAGTGAATCCCATCCACACCGTGGCACACTTTGCTCAGCGAGCTTCCATCTCCGTGACTGGAAAAAGCAACCATATCCCTTTTCTGACTCAGCTATCCAGGCTCCAAATGGCTACCAGACAACATGGTTCTCTGTGCACCTTCTCTGTGCCAGGTTTAGTATAACAGATTTGATGTTATGGCTCCAAGCTGAAACCCATGAATATCTAACCCTGGGATGCTGCTTTCTCTGGTTTGCTTCCCTCCTAACCACACTCACCTGCAGAGGTAACAGGCATGCCTAGTGTGTGGGGCTTTGTCCTGGGTTGCTGCCCTGGACAAAACCACTGGCTCTAGCAGGCAGGGGTCCAGTGCAGCTCGGCTCTTACCTGCTGGTGCAGGTCTCTTGTCTGACGAGTTGCTCAGATCCGCTGGGGCTGCTCTGCCGTTCTGGGGTGCTAGGTTCTGCTGGTTGCTGAGTGTGTACAGCTGGGTCTTCTTGACCACCTCCTGGGGCTCCAGGCATGTCCTGCCAGGCCTCTCCGACCTCGGTGGCCATATTCTTCACCTCATAATCAGCCAACACACTGTGGAAGAATAAGTATCCTTATGAAGCGAGTGCCCTGAAATTAGCCCTTGTTCGCACATGGCAGGTGGGCTGGCTGTCATGTCTTGTGGACTTGTAGGGACTCATCTCCCCAAGGGTGGGGCAGACAGGAACCAAGCACAACCGCAACCCCAAGGAGCAGGCAGTCTCCTCCTCAGCAGGACCCCAGCACTGCTGCTCCTTTCTGACAAGGACAAAGTCACCCGACGATTTCAATGAAGTATTAAAAGACATAGTCTCCTGGCTGGAAACACACTGCCATTCCTGTCCTGGTCTTCCCACTGCCATCTCTCCTTTCTCCAATCCTTTCCTGCCTCCCGCCCGTCTAGGAAGACCTAAACCATCCAGCCTTCTTCACTGACTATGGTTCTCAAGAACGGGGTGCTGGCTAGACTCATCAGGGGCCCAGCAATCTAAGGAGGGGCTTCTCCCCCAAGCTACCCTGGAGGGCTCGGTAGGAGCAAAAGTAGGGGAGTGGGTACGTGTTGTTCGCCAGATTCCCAATTCGCTGTTAAGCCCACAAACAGGGGGAAGGGTCATGAGAACACACGATTTCTCGGGTAGGGCCCATAGAAGAATCCAAGCCCATTTGTGATCCTCGAGCGCCATCTCGCGGTAGGCACCGGGACTGCGACAGAAAAAAGCCTCACCAAGGTCGCCCAAAACCACCATTTTCTTTCTTATCTCATTTCGTGGCGGGTATCGTTGGCCGAGTCCGTAGCTGCAGGAAATGGCGGTGCGCGCAGGCGCACTCACGCCGGTCGCAGGCCGACCTGTGCACGCGCAATCTCAGCGAGTGTGTGCGCACCCGCCCACTTATTGTTGTGATGGCGTGTTTTTCACAGCTGGAACCTTCTTGTCTTCTTTATTGTGAAGTAGTTATAGCTATTACTACAAAGCAATAGCATTTTCATCTTTTTTATTTTAACAGATGAAAAAGTTGATGTAAGGGTTCAATTGCCACTAGTACATGGTAGTCAAAATGGAACTTCGTTGTTCCTTCTGCTAAGCTTACAGTATCTAAACTTAGTTTAAAATCTCTCAACTTAGTTACCCCCACCTCACCCCAGCTGCTTCTCTTCCCCTTCCAGCAGCCAAACTCCTTAGAAAGAGCTGTCTACAGTCAGTGTTGTCACCTTTTTCTTCCCTTCTTACCATCAACATTCCATGGAACCTATTAATTGCTTCTCAAACATCTGCACTGAATGACCTCCATTTCCTACCTGTCTGGGACTGACATGCGGTGTTAAGGTGCAGCCCCCACACAATGGGACTCACCACAATACCTGAATAGTCTCTCTACCCTGTTCAACCAGAAAGTCTATTGATCACAAGCTTACATGTCCTGGCAATGTCAAAGTGCTACAAAAGTATAAACATTCTCAATTTCTGTACTTGTCTAAGGTAATAACAAATTGTTGATGGGGAGTTAGGATGTTTTAATCACAGGATCACTGTGCAGATCACACACTCTAGACGTTCTTGCAGCTAAGTCCAGTTAACTGGCATAGTTGGTGACTCTCCTTCTTTTACATTTTTCTTCCACAGCAGCACACTGGTTGGCCTCCTACCTCTCTGGCCACTGCCCACTCATCTGTTTCACAAGCTCCTCCTGATCCATCTTACCTCTTAATATGGGGTGCTCTTCCTGTATGTCTTCTTTTCTCACTTTATGCATGCCTCCACAACAATATTACCCATTCCCCTGGTTTCAGTTGCACTGACATACAGAGGACTTTCAAATACCTATTTTCAGTCAAGACCTCAACCCAAAGCTCCAGTTCCATTTCTCATTGTTAAAGCAAACTAAATATGACCTGAGAAGGACTCTGTACTTCTACATTTGAGTCCTTGTAGATGAAATGTAACCTAGCTTAACAGGCAGTTAAAATTGAAAAGCTAAGTTAGTATTATGTGCCTGTAACAATAGCTAAGTCTTGGCTAATCCCAGCAGCCATACTTCAACCATTCATACACTGCTGAGTGTTCAAATTGTTCAAATAAGGCATACACCAATCTGTAACCAAGCCAGCCATTCTGTACCTCACTTCAAACTTCTGTATGTCATTTCCATTTTTTTTGTCTATAAATCTTCCATCATGTGTCTGTGCTGCAGTCTAACTCTGCTGTGATTCTGGAAGCTGCCCAATTCTCAAATCATTCATAGCTCAATTTAAAAAAGCTGGTTTTTCTTTTATCAAATGGTGTCAGAAGTATGATCCAAAGTGGAGCTTCTACTGACTCCCCCCCCCCCCCGAGGAGTGCTGACTGAACACACAAGGTACCTTCAGGACCCACTTGTGTCCATTGATCTCTCAAAGCAGCTGGTGGTCATGGGTAAGCTCCCTCTCAGATTTCAGAGCTCCAAGGATTTGTGTTTTGAGCAAACTCTCCAAGTTTCTTTGAGCAAATTTCTGATCCAAACTGGGTTTGGAAATTTTGACAGAAACTGGGCTAGGTCCAGGAATGCATTTCATCTGGGAATTAACTGGCTTGGATCCAGTTAGAGGCCTCTCACATCTGACTGGGTCAGAAACGAACCAGTAGTAAGCAGTAATATTGCAGGGGTTATAAAATTTGGCTTTTAAAAATTCACAGAGATTGTGTTCTACCCTTTAGTTTCATTTTTGTTGCATGCCTTGGTAGGAAAAATCATTGGCTAAGTTAATCAAGAGAACTTGAGAGTAAAGCCAATATTTTAGGTAAAAATAAGATACTTAATTTCTGGAAAACTGAGTTCTTACAGCTTATACATTAGGCCCTGGAGGCAGCAAAGTCTTATAGAAATGGTGAAATCTTACGGAAGATAACTTACAGTGGAATGTTCCAAACGAATGACAACACAATGAAGTGCATTTTAAAAAAATTCTTTTGTGTTGTGGTTTGGCCCCCAGGGTGATGGTACGGATAGCCAGATCACCTGGGCCACTCAGGGAAAGGGAACCCAGAAGCCTGGCATGCCAGCAAAAGGGTAAGAATTTCTTACCAGTCCAATTTCAGGCTTTTCTCTCTCTCTGTGCAAACTGGTTGTATGAATGGTAAAAATCACTGTTTATCTCCTCTGTAAAATTTTAATTAATGCAAAAAAGAAGTCTGAGACTAGTCTTAAGCTGTAGTCAATCTGGTGTATTCTGCGCTATAAATTCATTTTTCTGTGTTGCGGGGTACTTTAGGATAAAACATGGGCTTAGGCCCCCATAAGCTCACTGCTCAAGATGGCCCAGCAAGGTGGTCAGTAACAAACTTTGCTGCAGGTCCCTGAAACAAACAAAAAACTGGATGAGGTCTCCATCTTGCTTTATGTCCTTGGTAGCTTGACCTTGTAACCATGTGGCAGTACTTTCTCCTTGTCTCCAGCTTCCAGGGAACAGGAATTTTAGGGTTCATATCATAGCTAGCACTAAAAATTATCTTGAGTAATTAAAGGCCTTTGCAAGCTCAAAATTAACTACTCTAGACTCCTTCTGAGCTCAGTAGTTAAGGTTTTGTTCTTTCACATTGGCAGTGCAGGTTCGATTCCTGGCTTAGGAAGTAAGTTCTTCCTGGTTTAATATCTGCGTGACCTTGTCCATTCCCTTCTCCTCCATGGACTATCTTAAATTTTCCTTTCTCTGAGCACCTGGGATGTTACCTTTGGTAAAGTTCAAAAGCCAGGAATATTGGGCATGTGGCCTGGCTGAAGTCGAGTAATAAAATATTTTAAAAGGACTTTATTAAAGAGTGTGATGGTTAAAAGCCAGAATAATTAAAAGCAGATAGTCAAGCTCTAACAGCCTGGACTCCTGGAAAAACAGGAGGCACCAGAGGCCTTTTCCTGACCTTGTTCTTCCAAGGACTCCACCCTAAAGCCGATAACCAATTGAGAAACTTAAAAACTGGCAAATGAAAAATCTTAAGGCTGGGCATGATGGCTCACATCTGTAATCCCAGCACTTTGGGAGGCTGAGGTGGGTGGATCACGAGGTCAGGAGTTTGAGACCAGCCTGACCAACATGGTGAAACCCTGTCTCTACTAAAAATACAAAAATTAGCCGGTGTGGTGGCAGGCACCTGTAATCCCAGCTACTCAGGAGGCTGAAGCAGGAGAATTGCTTGAACCTGGGAGGCGAAGGTTGCAGTGAGCTGAGACTATGCCATTGCACTCCAGCCTGGGCAACAAGAGTGAAACTCTGTCTCAAAAAAAAGAGAAATCTTACAAGTACTGTAGTAATCTTCTGTCTATCTGTGTAGTTATATATGTGTTGGGTGTAATATTTATATAAAAGAGCTCTAATTAATTGGCTTAAACAAAAATAAGCACTTAGGTCAAATTTTTTTTTTTAAACTGTAGTGCCTTTTAGTTCACATAACTTTAGTAATTTTGGGGAAATAAAAATAGCTTTAAAAATTACTGGCAAAATAAAAATATTTGGTCTAAATTATGCAGGTCAGATATTAGGTTTGCTAAATTCTTTAAGGTCATAAACTGCTTTGACTTTTGAAAGCTGCCCAGTTTATTTTGGGTCATTAGATCCTAGATGAGGCCCTGGGACATGTGGAATTAGCCAAGCTCCCTACCTATGCAAAGAAGGTTATAAAGAAAAGAAATTTTACATAAGAAAGGATCTTGTATGGTAAATTCTTGTCCTAAAGTCAAATGACTAATTGTTTAAAAAGAGGGATGTTTAGGGCAAGTCAGAAAGTCCAAGAATGTCTTAGGTGGTCTGTATAAGTCATGAAATAATTTATAAAAGGGGATTTACGCAAAAAATATTGTACAATTTAAAGGTGTTTAGGACTCCTGAATGCTTCATAAAATGTTACTATAACTCTTAACTGTACAACCTGTCTGATTTACAGTTAGGTAAGGTCTGAGAGACATGGAGTGAGAAGCTGGAAAGAGTCAGACCTTATCTGCATTTCTGTCTGGGTCCTAGGCTCCACTAAGCACACAATTAAAATCCTGAACTTATCAAGGTTTTTACCAAAAGCAAAAGTCCG